TTCTACGTTAAAAATTTGAAAACAGTAACGGGCTGTTAGCCAAATCTTGACCCACAACAGTAGTTATGGCTAATAATTTGTATTTCGATAGTTGTGGCTATAATTCCCCGCTATTTAATAGTTATGGATAATATATTGTATTTACCCTATTTCTTTTCATAAGTGATAAGTGGGTCACACGTCACAGTTTGCTACTTAATCAACATTTAAGCCACTTTAATTTGATATTTACATTGTGGATCACTGTGAGTTTAAATTTTGGGGTTAAGTGAGGTTGAGCGGGGAAGAGAGTTCACACTTCACAGTATGTTCATTTGTCTTGTTTATTTCATTGTAAGATTCATTATATAGGTGAATAAGGTTATTGAAAGGTTCAATTCTCTGAGGAGAAGAAAAAAAAAAACAATACGAACATTCTACCTTTTCCCTTTATTTCAGATTCGTCAGTTATTAATGAATCAGTAATATTAACTACCAGTTATGCTTCTAGCTTTTTTTTAAACACTACTTTGGAAAGATATTTGATCCCAATCATGCTTTTTCAATAGAAAACCTTCTAAAAAAATATAGTCAAAGTCACACAATATTTGAGAGAAACAGTTATATTCTGTAAATGAATATATTCGCAACTTACTCTATATCGTATAAACCAAATGAAAGTACGCTATAATACATCCTTTTTGTACTGTTTATCGCATAATGCGTCTATTTAGCACTGTTGTGACTTTTACAAATGAAACTTTTGGAAATAATTTTTGTCAAAACATGTTTTGAATTTTTTTTTTTTAGTTCTTGGTTACTAATTATTGAAAGTACTTTCTAAAACAAGAAGTGATACAAAATAACCACAAACAACAAGTATAAAAATATAATAAAATAGTTGAAATGAATCTTCTTGGAATTCTTTTTTATAAATGAAGTAAATTTATATTTGCCAAAAAAAAGTAAAGCGATAAAGATAAGAATTACTGACTCGCACGAAACTATACAACGAATTAATCACGACTAGCTAGAGCCCAAATTTTTAAACTCTAGCCGGGTGCAGTATAGGGCAAGTATTTAAATTGTCAACCTGAGCCGGTCCATGTACCCATATTTCAATCGCTTTTGTTATCTAGCAAAACGGTTTTGGGTTTAAAACTAATAAACCTACAAATGAAAACAAGCAAGTAAAGTAAATAGAGGTTGTCCCAATGAGAGAAGAGTTCACTTGGGTGTTGCTCCCCCTAGCTAACAATTATGACTTGAAGAATCGAACGACCGTGTGTGGTTAGGGGGTCATAAACCGCAGGGATGTCTAACAAGCAGCCAAAGCTACCCTCTTAGCCTCTAGGTTGCGGAATGGGATACGATCCAAGCCACTAATGTGACCCTCTCAACCTATCGACTAAGGAATGGTTAGACTTCACCCTCGAATTGGAGTTCGGATGGCCACCCACAACCAAACCCTAAGTGCTAATGCGAATTAAGAGGTTTGCCCTTTAACTAACCTAGAATAGGATGCATAGAATTCCCAAGGAAACCCATCTCTAATAGAGCCTCTTAAGTTAAGGAGGGTTCTCTCTAGACTAGCTTAGGAGGCATTGAATGCCCAAGGAAACCCATCTCGAAATGGGCATCTTAGGCTAAGGAGGGTTCTCTCTAAACTAGTTTAGGAGGCGTTGAATGCCCAAGGAAACCGAGCCTCTTGGGTAAAGGGGGTTTCCTCTCTACACTAGCCTAGGAGGCATGCAATGCCCAAGAACCCCATCTCAATATTGGGCCTCTTAACCTAAGGTGATTTCCTCTCTAAACTAGCCTAGGAGGCATGAAATGCCCAAGAACACCCAATAAACCTCTTAACCTAAGGAGGATCCTCTCTAAGCTAGGTTAGAATGACAATTAGATTGATAGGCTTTCACACAACAGAATCATTTCTTAATAATACCTCCACATTCACATTAAAACACAACCACACACAAATCATTCAATTCATACAAGCATTCACATAATTGTAGCTAGGGTTTACAACACTCAAGTGAGTAGGTAGGCTAATCCATAGCTAGGCAAAGGAAAACAACAAAAAGGAGAGAAAGAACCATGGAGAGGTGGAAATTTTCCTCCCTTGTTGCTTGAATCTCCCTTGAGAAGAAGAAATCTTCAATCCCCTAGCTTGAATTGAGCCCACTCTCCTTCTTCCTCCTTTGAGTGTCACTTTCTCTCTCTAGAATGGGAAGGGGAAACCCTAATCTCTCACTAGCAACCCTCTTTCTCTCTCCCAACAACATTCTATTTATAGAGCCCGACAGCCACTCCTAACGATCAGATGTCAAGGCCGTGACATTGGGGCTCTGACCTCGACATTGGACCAAAACACATGTCAGTGGTGTCGTTTTGGTCCATCTTTACGGTCAACGGCTGATTTTCACGGTCAACAGACCATGAACCACTAGGGCGTCAGTAATCTCGGAACACGCTCTGGAAGCAGACAATGTCACTCCCAAAGGGAAATTGTCACGGTTATAAGACCGTGACATTGGACCTTTGCCTGTGACAATTGATTCTCAAGCCCAGTGATCAATTGTCAAGGTCTGTTGACCGTGACATTTGACCCTTGCCCTTGACATTGGACTGTTCTTCACTTTACTTTACTTTTTGGCGCTTTATCAACTCCAATCGTCTCGAAACTCGTCCTCGACATTCCCACACGTACTAGGACCCGAAATATGACAAAACAAGCACAACCTAGCGTTATATATGTCGAGGGACGACGGAATGCAAAGTCAAACTATCAAGAAATGAGAGATAAAATGTGTACAATTAGTCCCGAATTAATTACTCTTTCTAAACAAAGAGAAATTCATAATCAAACTTTTTTGCATGTATGTTATAATTTATAAAAGTGTTTCTAGCTTTTCAAAAATTATTTTAATTTGAAAAGCTATTAGTTATTAGTTAGTAATATTAATCCGCAAGTTGCTTAAATTTCGGATTTACTGTTCATTACGAATTTTTAGGGGAAAACTATTAGCATTTAGCAGAAGTTCAAGTCAACTACTTTGGGCTGGCTGAGTCTTATGCCTAACGGTTGGCCTAGCTAGCTCTTTCTTCCCTTCTCTCCTCTTGAGTCTCGACTGCTCTTTCCCTTTGTCCTTTTTTTCTCCCATTTAATCCTCAATCCACTACAGGTAGGAATTAAAAAGAGAAAAATTACATCTAAAGCATAGGATTTAACTTTTATAGGTTTTCCACAATTGATTATCCAACATCATTCATATCACAATTAACGAAAATCACATGGGTGTTTTAATTACTTTAAAAAATTTAATCGAATGTTATACTTTTCATAACTTGATTTTATTATTAGATCATACATTATGAAAGATTTACTAACACCAATTACAAAAAATATAAATACATTATGTAATGCTTACAGAGAGCCAATTTTCATAATGACTGAGATGCTACATAAAGTTTATGGAGGGATAGTAATTTATTATGTATTAATTAAATAAGCATAAAATATAAATCTTAATATAAGTTTGAAGAAAAAATCCTAATTTTTAACTAAATTGTTGATCGAATATGATACTTTTCGTAACTTAATTCACTTTTATTAAATACAATTCCTTTGGTATTATCTACTATATTCTTCATCTCATCAATTTGAATTACGCAAGGGCTCCGTAAGATAAGTAACTTTTACGTAATATTTTAACAAAATATGAGACGTATCTGTAACTTGATTTTATTATTAAACCACCATTATGAAAATTCTGCATAACACCATTCTACAACAATTACGTAAATTAGTTACGTAAAACTTATAACAGGATAGTTATTTCTTATGCATCAAGTAAGCAAACGTATTATGTATGTCTTTCGTAATAACTAAGATACTACGCAAAGTTTATGCAAGTATCTTACCCAAAAAATATTTTGAATAATTTGATTTCAACTAAATCATTAAATGAGTGAATGAAATTCATTATTTTTTTCGCATAGAAATTTAATTATTATTTTTATTAGTTTATTACTGCTGCGAAGCGTGGGTCAAAAAACTAGTTTCGTCTTTCAAAATAGGAAACCTTCTAAATGTATAGTCAGGAAAAAAGTTATATTCCTTAGGTATATTATAAATAGAATATATTCGGTGTAAGATAAACCAAATGAGAGCACTATGCAAAGAAGAAGATAAAATATTGAAATGGACTAGTAAGTTTAGTCCCTAAACTTGGACATTTTTCTCAACCGAGTCCTTAAATTTTGCTCCTCTCTAAACAAGTCCCTGAACTGTGTAACTTGTCTAAAATCGACCAAGAATTTGGCAGTTGATTTGAACTTGCTTAGTTTGTTTAGCAGCTTCATCACAGATTTTGTTTTTCAAATTACTCCAGTTAAATAATGTCACAGTTTCATCAGTCACCAAAGCTCTAAGCAATCCAGGTACAATTGAATTTTTGGACATTTCGTGGCCGAAGTTGTCGTCAGGCTAAAGTCGAGCCTGAACCTACTGGTCAGATCTGTAAAAAAATTCGACAACAAAGGACCCAATTTGGAAAAACCCACAATGTCCGAGGGACCGTTGAGGGGGAAAAAAAAATTAAAGTTCAAGAGCTGGTTTGAGAAAGTTATCAAAATCCAGGGGCAAAATCAGAACTAAAAATCCTGGGAAAATATTATTGTAATTATTAGATGGCGTGAGAATGGAGCGGTTTTCTTCAATTCGTGTGGGGCTTTGTTTTCTCTAGAAACTGTTCTTCTGTTTAGTGTCCGCCACTCCACTTCCTAGTTTCAAACCCACTTCCCTAATACTCTCTCCAAAACAAAACAGAACAAAAAAGACCAACTCCTCAATTCCCTTTCTTCTCCACCACCTCTTCCCTTCCCTTATTAAGCTCCAAACCCAACTCGCTAATCCGCAAACTAAACTGCCATTGCCATGGATGATGGCAAAGCAAAGCAAGAAGCCCATCATCAACAATGGACACCAGCTATCATTCCCTTGCCAATTCTTTTCTGTTTAGTTTCTGCTGATTAACACAACAAATCCTCCTGCTGCTGGCTTCTTATCCCCCCGTACTATCATTAGTCTTTGCATAAGCTGGTGCAAGAAGCAGTCGGGAAGCACAGTGACAAATTGGAAGACATGTTCGATTGCCTTCTCGGCTGGCGTAGAGCTTCCAAATGGTAACACTCGAATCTTCTTCATTCCTCTGTTTTCTTCTTCCTTCTGTTTTGCTGTTTGTTGTGTTTCCGGTACCATTATTCGATTTCGGTTGGTTGGTGCAGCAAGAGAACAGTGAGGCAGCTTCAGGTTCGGATGCGAGGGCTGAAGAACAAAAGGCAAGCCATGATCAGGCAGTTGAAGGAGGACGTCGCTCAGCTCATCAAGCTTGGCTGCCATGATATTGCTTTCAACCGGGTACGTACAATACTTTGCTCCCCTGAAGCTGCTTCCCCTGTTTTTCACCATTGTCAACTTTGGTTGGTTGGTCGAGTTCGTTTGCCTACCTCTGGACTATGAATAAAATGCTTAGTATAAAGGAAAAAAGAACCCTGAAATCTTGTTCATCTATGATGTGTTCAGATATTTGTTATTGAGTAGAGGTCGCTGTAATTGTGACCAATGTAACAGGGGTCAAAATTTTGGTTTTTTGGGTTATCAAAATTTTCTCAACTGTTCTTTTACTGCCCAGGTGGAGCAGCTGGTGAAAGATGAGGACATGATCAAAGTTTTTGAATTGCTAGACAATTACTGCGACGTTATCATCATTAACCTCTCTTACATCCGAAAGCGCAAGTATGCTTCTTTCTCCATTATCAACCCGTAGTTTACATCGAGTCATTATGTTCTTTTCCTCTTCTTGAGACTCTGTTTTCCCCTGTTGTTGCTGCTGAAACTGGTTTATTTTATTTATGCCCATTTCCTTCTTTTAGAGATCTTCCGAACGACATCAACGAGGCAGTTTCAAGCCTGGTATTTGCATCTGCAAGGTGCGGCGACCTCCCCGAACTACTAGTCATCCGCGAGCTCGCTGAGGATCGTTATGGCCCGCGATTTGAGAGGACCGCTCTTGATCTCTTGCCTGGAAACCTTGTCAACCATCAGGTTTTTCCCCCTTAGTCAGATATCTTGTTCATTTTGCAAATTCATGTCAGGTTTTTACTGATATTGTTGAAATTCTTCAGGTGAGGAAGAAGCTCACAGTTCGATCCGTTTCTGACGACGAGAAGCTGAGATTGGTTGATGAAATCGCCAGAGAAAACCGCCTTTTACCGGAGATTGTGGTTCTAGATTACCCTCCAAAACTCGCACAGAAACAGGACAAGTTACCACCACCAATCGAAGTCCTCCAAGTTGTAGAGCCTGGTGATGATGAGCAGCAACAACAGCCTCCTCCTCCTCCTTCGTCTTCTTCTTCTTCCTCCAGAGGAAAGATCAATAAACCTGATCACCATCAGCAGGACTACTACTGCGATTTATCATCATCATCAAGCAACTGCTTCAGCTCAATCCTCCAGCCAACAACTTCAGGCTGCAGCCAGAATTCCTTCTCAACGATCACCACTTCTTTCAGCTCATCCGCCATGGCTCAATCTTCACAGGACGAATTGGAGTACCTCATGAACCGAATCGGCACCAACGAAACCCTGATGCCTTACATGGCTGAACACGAAACCTACATTCCAGAACCACCAAAACAAGAAATCAAATCCCAGAAGCAGCGAAAGGCCGCGTCCTCCACAGAGAGCCTGCCTCAGTTTCCTGAAGAAGAGATGCTCGTGTACCTAGACGACGTGGAAGAAGTACAGTCCTCCATTAGCGGGAAAGAAGGAAGCTTTCAGGACCAGAGGGTCTTCAAGTTCAGAACCCATAAAGTCGACGAGATCAGTGACTACAGGGAGGATGATACGGATGAGTACGGATCTTCAGGGGACGGATCGAGGAGCTCGATTCGATCGAGAAAGATGGTTAAGAACACTGTCAGGAAAAGATCGAGGAAGAGATCGGTTTCCAGGGAAAACCCAGAATTAGTAATTGAAGGAGACATTATGTACTATGAAAACCCTCCATGGAAAAGGCCTCCATTGATCCCTCCCAGTCCCAATCAGAAACAGAAATCTGAGCTTCACCGACATCAGGAAGCTCGTAAACCCTGTCGCGATCCTTCAAATGTGGAGGAATCGGAGACAGAGAAGGAATGGAGGGCGTTCCAGGAGAAATTCAGTAGGAAGAGCTGTGAGTTGAGCGGTGGAGGAATGAAGCCGCCATATTCAAGAGCAATGTCCATGCCGCAGGAAAGGAGTAGCTCGAAATGTCAGTCGGAGAACATCGACAGAACGATGTCGTTTCCAAATCAGTCGCCGAACCACGTTCACCCCAAGTTGCCGGACTACGATGATTTGGCGGCGAAGTTCAGGGCTTTGAAGAAAGAGCATAGGGGGAATGGGCGCTACTGAAGTTATGAGATTCCATTTGTTTAATTTTTTGCTTATGTGTAGTGGTGAAGTTAAAAAGGAACTTACAGTGAACGGTTGATTATATGCGTATATGATATGACTGCTGCAACAGGGTGAATTTGCCAGAGATGGAACAGTGGAAAATTAGGAAAGTTTAATTTTGTCTTGGGAAGTTTCAGGTTGTCTAGTTTTATGTAGGGATTGGGGTATGTGCTTTTTGCTTGGACATGTAGAGAACAATTTTGAACGGTGATGTTTTACAGGGGAAAGATAGGATAATAAATTTTTGAACTAGGTTATCATGTGTTATTACTAATGTTCTCGTACTAGATTGAGGTATGAGTCACTGTACCAAGTGGTTCACAATTAACTATTTAACTGCAATTGGGCCATTATCAAAATATTAAGGAACCAAATATTAAGATTATTCATCTACATTCCATCCAGACCATACTAGAGGTTGGCTACTATTTTAATGGTTGGATTGACGGGTTGGTATGATTTTATTAATATCTATTATTACTAGCACAAATGCTCGTGTTTGTGCGACGAGTCGTGAATTTAGTAACTTGGGTACATAAATAGATAGTTAGAGTTTTGAGAAGAGACATTATCAATGTATTTGATAATAGTTTTAAACACCATCTATTATACCATCTTACAATACAAATGTGTCTTCAAAAGACATAAAAAAATAAGTTATGCAAGGAATTTAATAATGTTTTCTATTTTGTGTGATGGAAAGCGGGCCGAGTTTTATCAAAATCTACACCTTATTCAATCCACCAATTACCAAAGCGAGTAGCTGGCTCCCAGTCCAAAACTCATCAACACCATATTCAACCCGCTGTTGACCGGGTCAATTATTTTATTTTTTGGGTGCGGGTCAGATGGAAAGTGGGCTGTAGTTTTAACAAATTCGCCCTCAACCCAAACCTCTAATTACAAAAGTGGATAAAACTCACTCCCGACCCACAACTTGTCAACATGATAAAACTTGATCTCGACTCAAAACTTGTCAACACCAGGTTTAATCGACTTTGATCGGGTCAATTGTTTTGTTTTTTGGGAGCGGGTCGGTGGTTTGTGTTTGTTTTATTTTCTTTTTGTGTTTTTGTGTTTGTAGGAGGGTACCCTGGTGCATCATGAGGTAATCAAGATGGTGGAAGCCATGGAATCGGGTTTTATGATCAACCTCTCATCCAAGAAGAACAACCATACCCATGGGGATTTCAAGAAGTTTCCCCATAGCAAGAAAACTTCCCTCCAGAAACCGATGTGAAATCTAAGTTGGAGTTGGCAATGAAGGCTTTCATGGGGCATTCCTCAAGACCATGTGCCACTTTACAACCGGAACCAAATAGCCAATTGGAGCTCATGGTGGATCGGTTTGCTCGAGGCATAAATGAAAGATGCTCAAACTTGGATCTCCGACAACCCGAAGTGCAGTCCAAAAATTGGAGCCTACCATGGAGAATTTTGAAAGAACATGCTCAAGCACGGGTTTCCAACTTCTCCCTCCACCCGGTTTAACACTAGAAAAGAAGGTGGCACGAGCTTGTGCAAGCCATCGCCTCTCATCATTGGAGGAGAAAGAGTAGGTTGAAAGGGCGATCAATGACAACCGCATGGAGAAAGAGGAACTCACCCCGGAGAGCTCCCCTGGTGAGAATGACTAAGAGGGTTGCATTGATGATTTTCATACATTTCCCCTTCCCGAGAACAACTTTAAAGACCAAAACAAAAGGGTAGAGGAGCAAGAGAACTCTTTCAATGATCCTGCATGATATCTTGCCCTCCAAACCGTTCTCGAAGACATGAATGGGAAGGTGAAAGAAGAGGTTGAAGAGGAGGAAGTGAGAATTAAAGAAGAGGAAGATCTTGGTTGTTCCCAAGGGGAGGAACACATTGAGGAAGAAGGAAGGGAGGTTGAAGTTGAAGAAGAAAATGGTGTCCATCCGACATGGCATGAATCACCGAACCTGCACTCAGGAATAGTAATGCTTTGAAAAACCAAGATGAAGACGAGGTCGAGGTGGATGAAGCATCCACGAGTTACAAGTGCTACCACAGCTTTCTACCCGACCTTGATGCACTTTTGGAGAATGCCCAGCTTGCGGCTCTTTGCCAAGCCAAGACCAAACCATCATCGATCCCTCTTGGTGGATGCGATGGTGGTCAATCGATGATGTCCTATATAGTATGGGGCAATGATAAGAATGAAGAGGAAAGAAGAAGAGGTCTCGTGGATGGGGCATCGATTCACACCAAGTTCACGAGCTATTTACATCATTTGAAGTATCCAATGCTCGTGACTTACTACCTCACCAACGAGAACCTCAACTTCAAGGAGGTTTTGGGATGGACTGACTTGAAGAGCCAATGTCCGGCTCACAACGTGAATGAAGCGCTTGTTGGGAGAGAACCCAACCACCATCGCTTTGTTTTCTTTTCCCTTCAATAAGAAAACTTTTGGGGAGTTTTTGGTGTTTGGACGTTGCCTTGCTCTTCCAGATCTCACACATGTGACGATTGACATTGTTTTAACATAAATTACCTTCTTAGAATGACTATTATGAAGAAGCTCCATATCATGAATCCAAAATAAGTGAGTACATCGATGATACAACTTGTAAGTAAAAATAACTATTTAAATATATTTTTAACTAAAACATCCATTTCCCATTGTCAAACGTATTAGAATTCGATTCCATTCACTCAATTCTTTTGGAACAAAAGAAGCCCACCCACATTATAATCCTAAATTTCAACTCCCAAATCAAGTCTCCGATCTATTTCTTTCACCTCTGCCTTTGTTTCTTTTTAACAAAACAACTAAACAAGTTTACAACGAATTTGAACAAATCAAGACTCTAATCTATTTTCCAAATCAGTCGAGTGACTAATTTATAAATAATTGTTTCTTTGTTAACATAAAAGAAAGTTTGATTTACAACATAACAACAAATATATTTTACAAATATTTCAGAATATAAAAAGCTGTCGTGACTCGCTATGAAAAATAAAATATTAATTTTTTATTTATTTTATATTAATCGATCGACGAACATGTCCAAAAATATTGAGCATGTCACTATTTATAACGCAATAAATTAAAATATGTCCCAATCATTTGTAGGTCACCTAAAACTGAAATATTGAACGAATGAAGATGACAATCAAATCCATAATCACAAGTATATATCCGCTCCGACCCGCCCATCGCCATCCCTAAATGGAAGCACAAATAGAATCACTCAGCTGTACCATATCAAGAAGCACGCTTTGCCCTTGTGGCAGAAAATATCAAGCCACCCAAACGACAAAAGGAACTTTGATTCGAGTTGGTCACTCATATGAGTCATGACTAGCTAACAGCTAGAAGCACTTTCATGGGACACACGGCACCCGTTCCACCATTGGAGCATCTGTACCGAATATCAACCTTAAAAAGGGCTGAAAATATACAAAATGACCCAATCAGTAGGGAATCCAATCATTAACTCCAAATTCCCATTTAGAACTCTATTGCCGTCGTTTTCTTTGACCCACTCACTCCGTCTTTCTCTTCCCCTCCCAATTCATTTTACCTTTGCCACCAAAAACTGAATACTACTGGAGATGGAGGGTCCGGTGGACACATGCATGAATATCTAGGCTTGAGGGGTTTATCTCCGTTGGACTTCCTTTCACACATTTTATTCATATAATGCGTTGGATACCCTCACCAATCCAATTTGATCATTTAAGTTGTTACACATAAACATTATGAGTGTCAATGGCGCATTATCGTTTCTAATGTGTCGAGAGAACAAATCTACTTAACTTCTACTCCTACGAATACCACTAAAATGATTTATTATTCATTGACGTATTAAAACCAAAGAACAACGTACATATTTAGAGGACTACTCTACAAACCATTTCCCTCTCAAACAAGGTAAACTAATCCTAACCCAACAAGTAATTAATAACTTTCTCAACAAGACACAATAAACTAATATGAATAACCATAATATGCTAACAATTAACTAACAATAAATCCTTAATATGAATAACCATAATATGCTAACAATTAACTAACAATAAATCCTTAATTACTAAGCCCACTCGGCATAAGGCTCATCGGGTGCTATAATGCACCAGTCAAACAACATTATGAAGGTGTCAAACAACATTATCCCTATTCTTGTTCTATCTCAATTGTCATAAGTGTTGTCCGCTATTTCTAATTTGCAGCAAACTAATCAGATTATGCACGATTTCTCGTCTGTCATATTCCGATCATAAAATCACATGATTTCATACATAGCATGCACAATAAAATTAGATATGTAGTTTTTTTGTCTTGGTGATCAAAGGCCGGCAGACGCAATCTCTCGTCTAGCCTATGAATTTAACGATAACTAATAAAATTTTTATCTCTTGCCATATTCCGATCATAAAATCACATGATTTCATACATAGTATGCACAATAAAATTAGATATGTAGTTTTTTGTCTTGGTGATGAAAGATAGGGAGACGCAATCTCTCGTATAACCTATGAATTTAACGATAACTAGTAAAAATTTATCTCTTGGATTATATTAAAAAATAACCATGAATTTCTCACTTAGGTTAGATCCAAAAATATGCAAGCAAGAACAAAGTAGTTATATGAGTAGTTTGTTGAGTTCATTAAGAAAATAGTTTTCAGAGCTCTCACTGAACTTTCATATGCGTAGAGTAAATTAACGTACATACTTTGTTTCCAAAAAGCTATAAAAGAACATCTAACATCATTATTCAAAATTTCATTAAAATATATAAACCGTATAGTTATTGTTATTAAAAAAATTCAAAGGTCAATTCTATTTTACACAAGTTTTCTCAACGAAAAAAGATGAGATTTATCTCTCTTAAATATGTGCAGGCCCCCTAAGACTGAAAAAAGGTAAACCCCTGAAAGCAAATGTAGTCACTCAGCTGTACCATCTCATGGAGCACGCTTTTCTTGGAGCAGAAAATATCAAGCCACCCAAACGAGAAAGAAACTTTGATTTGAGTTGGCCACCCATCACTAGCTACAGGCTAGAAGCACTTTCATGGGACACATGGCACCCCTGGCTCGTTCATTTAGTTTAGGGTATCCAATCATAAACTCCAAATTCACATTTGGAACTTTTGGGTCGATTTCTTTGGACACATGCATGAATATGTAGGCTTGAGGGGTTTCTCTGTGAGACCAAATTTTGACATTTTGGGAGCAAAGCAATAATTGAGGTCATTGCATGAGGTTTAGTTATCAAACTATTGAGAATTCCTTTCACACGTTTATTCGTGTACCCTCATCATGTTTTTTGGGACGACAAGGAAACCAATTCAATTTGTGCATTTAGTTAACAGCATACCATATAATGAATTATGACTGTTAATAGTATAGAGGGGACAAAAACTAGAAGGATAAGCCCTTAATAAATGTTAGTTTGTTTTTATCTATTTATATTGTGTTGTTTCTAATTATTTATAGATTTTTTTTTTTTGACAATTAATTATTTATAGATAAGGTGTAAAGCATTCCAAAATTTGCAAGCTCTTAGTAGAAACTTTAAGGTACTGAAAATGAAGGAAATGAGAGATTGTCACTAGTTACCTTGACAAGGTTTATGAGGATAGCTGGATAGTGTTTACTCTCCCATCAGGGGCGGGGGACCGGATCACCTCAGTAACCCTTCCATCAGTAACCGTCAGTAACCTCTTTCCCTGGCCCCCACGTGTCAGTTTTTTCTTTTTATTTAAAAAAAATACGGAGGGGCACTAAGGTAAAATTGCACCCCCTATTTAATGATGTCTCTGACGCGTTGACGCTGACGCGACGCGGATCCCACTCCCCACCCCACACTGGTTGTCTGGTTCCCCCTTTCTCTCACTCTTTGTTTTATTTTATTATTAAAAAAAATATTATTTCTTCTCTCTCAACAAAAATGAATCTAACCATCCTTAACTATCTCTAAACTAATTCCAGCTCAAATTGAATGATGATTTTTTCGTTAAATAATACATTGTTAAAGACACTAATTACAAGTATAAATATGAGTATCACTTTCTACTATCATGGTAAAACATGGTAAAATATGTTGAAGAAAATTACAATTCTAACTACCATACAATACCACATGGTAAAACGTGGTAAAATATGTTGAAGAAAATTAAAAATCTAACTACCATACAATACCACATGGTATAACGTGGTAAAACATGCTACAGAGATTTACAAATCTAATTACCATACCATACCATATGGTATAACATGCTAAAATAAAATTACAAATCAAACTACCATCACATGGTATAACTTTGTAAACCACGCTACAGAAAATTATAAATCTAACTAGCATACAATACCACCATAGTAGAATATGGTAAATCAAAGGGCCACAAATTAATTATAATTACCATATAATACCACATGGTATGAGAAGATAAAACCATGTAAATTAATTACAACCCTCTACGAACATAGTAAAAACATGATATTCATAAAAATACATTTTGTTACCATATGGTATAGTGTGGTAATCTCAATATATATATACAATTACGACTTTCTTCACTTTCTTTTCTCCCTTCATTGTCTTCTAACTCTTCTTTCTCGGAACTGGTGTCGATTACCACCCACTACCACCATGATAAAACTCGTGACTATAAAAATACACTTAGTTAGCACACATTAACATATGGTATAGTGTGATAATATCAATATATATTCTCAAAGAAGGGGAAACAGAAGGAGGAAGAGGAAAAAAAATTCGTCTTCTGTCTCCTCTCATTTACTCCTCCGCAATGAAGAACACCGAATGCAAAAAGAACGAAAAAGAGGAAGAAGATCGGAATTAATTCACAAACAAATACTAAAACAGAAAAGATGCAAACTCAACTCACCTAGATCTGTCCCCTCTTTGACAATATGGAACATCATCGATTTTGAGGCCGAGAAAAGAAAAAAACGGAAGGAATGAGCAGCTTGAGAGTAGAAGGATTTGGAGCGTCACCGAATTTGAAGTGGGAGGCTGTAATTTCTTCATCGATTGTTGGAGAAAAAAATGAAGAACAAGAGAAGAAAGGAGATTTAGATCTGGAAAAAGAATTTTGGAAGAGAGAAAGGAATAGAGAAAGAGAAGAGAGAGAGGAAGAGAGAAGTCTGCCTTTTCTGTTTCCTCCATTAAAAGACAACACATATAAATGCTGAAAAAAATAAAAAAAAAAAGAAAGAAATCAAATTTCAAAAATCGGACAAAAATGCCCCTCCTCACTCCGCGTGCAGCCTAGCAATATAATAATATCATCCCTAGATCTACGGTCCGGATTTAATACTGACCGGTCAATAACCAATGGTTACTGACCCTATCTGCTGCCCAGGGGCGGACCCAAAGGTAAGGGACATTCCTAAAATTTGAGAAAAAATATCCAATCCAAAATAGTAGTACGAGTCCAGAAAAGAATAATAATTAAATATATATAGTGTTTGTTGGGATTGGAACGCCGGACACTGTTGTTATAACAAAAGTTTATTACCATTAGGCTACAAAACAACCCTTTTACAAATTCAAACATAAATATATTTCTACTATGAGTTTTAAGTCCAGTTATACTAAAAATCCCCAATTTTCTCCCGATCCCTGAAACCAATTGATTTGTTGGTTTCTGCTATAGGAAAGGGGCGACCTCTCTGCCGAGACGAGCTATGTCTTGGATTAATAGGAATTGATAAACTAGTTCAGTTGATGGTGAGGACCAAAGTGAATCTATCATATATATATTTTCTGATCGCCAACTCATACTAGATCCCGTTGCATTTTATTGGAAGTGGAAGACTAGCCCAAATGAATTTGATATTTCCGAAGTAACTTTCGCCAACTCCCACTATTATAAAGTGAGTCGTTGGTAGCAATTCGGCGAATTCGTTACATCGAAAATACTGGGAACCCTTTCATATGATCTCCCATCTACACACATATAGATATACGGGCTTTTCTTTATTATTTCAGGTATCGGCCGCAGGGTCTATTTGCTTCTCAAACTGGTATTAATATTACCGGTTGTCACTCCAAGTATTGAAAGAGATTTTTCAGCTTTGGGTTACATTAAGAACAAGTTTCGAAATCGAATAGAAGATCAGTTTGTAACACTGAATCTCGTTGATGTCATGTATATCGTGTGTCTTGTGTTTTCGATAATTCGTTTTCGCTTAGACAAATCGCTTCGTAACACTAAAAACACGTACATACCCATATTTCTTTAAGGATTAAGAAATCGAAATGGCCATTACAGTGATACCCATCATAGAATCACTTTGGTACCTGTTATATACAGAATAGCAAGCTAATCTACATAGACAACACACTTCTGACTTCACCCAATGAGAATGGGATACGTCAAAAGCACGTTGAATATTTTATATATCCAGCAACACCAATATACATAGCACTCATGCTGACTAGGAAGGGTGTTGGAATTGGTTGAGTTCCCAATTTCGTTGACTTTGCCACCATATATAGCGTTTCCTCGAAATAAAATATATAACATAATTACAATAAATTAGTCGATGGAGATGTATAAGATATTTATAGGTTGACGATTGACAATAAAAATTATATATACTTGGGAAGTCAACTCCCAAATTGGGCTCCGAAAAGCGGCAGAAGGTAAAATAAATAGAAAAGGCATTATAGGCTGGTGGTGTTGTTGCTATTTGCTAATCTTATTGGCTCATTGGGTGAGGTCGTGATAGTCATAAAACTTAGTAATTAGATTACCAAAATCAATTATATGTAATGTATATTAATCGTATATGTATATATTGTTGAATGGTTTAGTTTAAAGTTAATATGGCAGAGGGACCGATGTTAATTTAGGGTTGGAAGTTTATACCGTATTTGAGATATACTGAATACCGTACAAAACTTATCACTATTTGGTATTACTGAATACCAACTTATTTCTTAGGGAATGAGATTGGGATTCATTATGGAGTGTTATTCGGTATTCGAGATTATGGGATTGGGATCGGTATATATCGAATATCGTACCGAACTTATCACTATTTGTTATTACCGAATATCGACTTATTTTTTAGGGATTGAGATTGAGATTCATTATGGAGTGTTATTCGGTATTTGGGATTATGAGATTGGGATCGGTATATATCGAAATAACGAGAAACGTGAAAAATTGAAAATTAATGAAAAATAGCATACAACCTTTGGTCATTCCTCACTCTTTCAAAACTCACAAGTCCTCATCCAATTCAATTTTGGCTTTCAAGTTTAAGTCACTTTCGTCTCTCCCTAATCTATTGTAATTTTCATAACACCAAAAAGCAAACACCAGTAGTAGTCGTCTCTTTGTCTCCAATTTGTCGAATGAAAGATTACCAATGACAAGAACTTGATAAGTCACCATTATAAAAAAAAGAACTTGATAAGTCACATCTCATCCCTTCCCCTTATCCATGTACTAGCTCAAGGCAAACTCCAACTCTTTGCTTAGTCTATTTGTCCTAAATTTAACAATCAAATCTAAATTATATATTTAATTATTAATTGTAAATTTAATTAATTTCATATTCGATAATAACGATTGAGATACCAGAATACCGATTGGGATATAGAAATGTTTAGGGATTGGGATTGGGATTGGGATATCGAAATTATTTAGGGATTGTGATTGCAATTGATTTTAGCGTTTAATTCGGTATTCGGAATTTCGATATTCAGTATTGGGATACCAATACCAAACCGATTTCTGAATAATTTGTATAACACAATATAAAATAACGATACATATTTACGTGGTTCTTCCCATTCGATGTGAATGAGTTTACTCCATGGAGAAGTTATGCTATCTCAGCTTTTCATTAGGGTTTTCTGCTACACAATACATATACTCGGAATCAACAAGAACCCCTAGTTAGGGTTGGGAGAAGTGAAAAAACATAAATGCCCCCATGTAAGTTCGCTATACTCCCCCTCAAGCTGATACATGAAGATCACGAAGCCTAGCTTCTAAAGAAGAAGGTGGAAACGATCACTACCCAGACCCTTGGTAAACAAATCGGCTATCTAGTCACCGGAAAAAATCTTCTAAGGGAGGATCTCACCCAAGGAAACCCGCTCACGAACAAAACAACAGTACATCTCCACATGCTTGGTACACTCGTGGAAAACCGGATTCACAGCATATCACAGTATAGAGCCATGAAAGACTTAACAGAAACACCAAGGTCACAGATCAAGTCACGTAACCATATCACCTCACATCATATCACAATACTTGGCCTCGACAGAAGAACGAGCCACAACACTTTGTTTATTCTGCGCCAGGAGACAGGGGTACCACCCAAAGTAATGGAATAGCCGGTCGTGGAATGACGAGTGAGATGATATCCACCCCAATCAGCATAACGGAAAGCGAGCACCTGCAAGTCCCCATCACGAGGGAGAAAAATCCCTTGATGGGAGTGCGCTTCAAATAACGAAGCACACGTTCTGCGCCAGCAATGTGAACAATAATTGGCGCATGAATGAACTGGCCTAGGACATTCAAAGCATAGGTAATGTCTGGACGAGTGATCATGAGATAGAGCAATTGACCTACAAGATGACGATAAGCAGATGCATCGACAGGAGAGGATTCATCTGTCAAAGTTGAAACAAGATGAGTGAGACGATGGTTCGTCTTGATAGGAAAAGAACTAGGGTAAGACCAACATCATGAAGAATATCAGGAGTATACTTTCGTTTAGAGAAAACCATACCCTGAGGAGAGCGAGCTTCCTTAGTCCCTAGAAAATACTTTAGAGGCCCCAAATTCTTAATACCGAACTGAGCGTGCAGAGTATCCTTGACATCTTAATGAAAACATGATCATTGCCGGCAAGGAGAACGCCATCCACATAAATCAAGGCAACTACAAAGGACAAAGAAGTCTGTCGAATGAAAAGAGAGTAGCCGGCCAGGAGTGAAGGAAACTAAGGAACTCAACATGGTTGTGAACTTGGCATACCAGTTGTGAGAAGTTTGCTTCAAACCATATAAGGACTTCTATAGATGACAGACACGAGTATCACCTTTCATAGAGAACCCAGGAGGAATATGCATATACACTTCTTCATGGAGATCACCATGAAGGAAAGCATTATTAACATCCAACTGGTGAACAATCCAGCCTCGGTGATCTGCAACAACCAATAAACATCGAACATAGACAAGTTTAGCAACCAGGGCAAATGTGTCATGATAGTCAACTCCTTCAACCTGTGTGTAGCCCTTGGCTACCAAACGAGATTTATATCGCTCAACGAAACCATCTGGATGATATTTAATATTAAAAACCCACTTGCAATCAACGAGTTTCTTCCCAGGAGGAAGAGAGGTCAAATACCAACTCCCACTAGCCTTGAGGGAAGCAAGCTATGCGCGCATGTCAGCACGCCAATGTCCATAGCGAACTTCCTCTCGGAAAGAAGTAGGCTCACGTTCGCGAGACACAGTAGAGAGGAAAGCGCGATGCACAAGAGAAAACGCATGATAGGAGACACAACCAGATATGGGGTAATGCGACACCTGCGAATCTTGGGGAAGATCCAGCTCATAATTGTCCCGAATGAAAGAGGGAACGTGTCGCACTCGATCACTACGACAAGGAAGTGGCTTCTCAACAGGAATGATAGGTGATGGGGGATCCGAAGGCACGGAGATGAGAATACTGGGGAGGATGTTAAACAGAATCTCATATAGTAGTATGATTATGCAATACAGAAGACGGGAGCCGATTAATGAGATAAGTAGCGATGAGGACACACTCACACCAAAAATGAATAGGAAGTGAAGCACGGAAACGAAGAGCTCTAGCTGTCTCAAGAAGATGTCGATGCTTGCTTTCAGCCACACCGTTCTGTTGTGGAGTGTCGGTGCAAGATGTTTCTAAAATAATACCATGGGACTCATAGAATGACAATAGGGTACTGGTCTAAAACTCAACCCCATTGTCAGCCTACAGTCTGTAGATCTGACAGCCAAACTGTGTACTAGCCTTGTGTATAAATATTAACAAG